AGTTCTGTTGCTTCACTAGACAAGGTGCAGGTGTGGAAAAGGGTGAATGAGTAAGGAATAGGAGTCAACTGGGATAATGTGTCACCCCCTTTCTCCCACCCCCTCCCTTCCACCTTCGACCTGACTCTTCCCTACTGCTGACTGAACAGGTCGCGATCCGGTTGTAGCTTCACCTATTTGTCAGCTGCTTTGTAGTTACAACAAAAAAGAAAATGACTAACCATTTTTTTCTTAGAACCTATCAAATTTCAACCCTTTAAATATTTGCATTGACGTGTCCTTCTCACGACATATGTTCGTACAGTTTACGCCCATTGCGAATTACTGTATTTCCTATACTGTATAGCTCATTCTTCTAATCAATCGATCTGCTCCTTCAACGGTACGATTGGACGGTTCTCGTCTCGGTTTCAATTCATCAACGTCATTCAGGAAAAAATGGCAACACCCCCTTTGTCACAATTCTTTGTTGACTGAATACCTGTTCGAATTCATTCGTGCGCATACTATGCTTCACTGTCTTCCAGATTGGAAATCTCTTCTTTCCTGAATTATTTCCTTGAAATTTGAATATTTTCACTTACTGGCTTGTTGATTTATGCTTTGAAAAACGTGATTGTAATGCAAGGTCACTGTCTAAATTAACGCTTGTTCTAAACTTGGAGTAGGATGGTCCAGAAATCGAATAATTTTCCCCTTAACCAATAGAGTTCCTTCCCTCGAACATTGCTAATGTTTTAGTGGAATTTTTCCAGGATAGCGACTCTTCGAGTAGCCTAATGGAGCTTGCACCAATGGACAAGCAACCGAACGGGAAGTCACGTTCGTCGTCGACGGATGAATTAGGTAATGTTAAATTATTTGTATTACACCGGCACAAGCGTACTTTCGTAAGCAATTCGTACTGCCTAGATACTATTTATGTACCTGTCTAAATCGGCAAGTGTCCACCGCCGCTCCTCTCATAACTGATTCCGTGGGCACTCCCCACTGATTCCGTGGGCACTCCCCCTCCAAGAGTCGAGATTAAAATTGCAACAAATTCCTCACGGAACCGAATGCAAAAAAAGGCACGTAGGGATCCTGAAAGTGTGGAAACCGTGTGTTTATCCTCCAATTGGATCCGAAGTTTACGCGCTTTTCATAATTTTACTATTTGCATTAAGCTCATCTGGGAATGTTTAGTTGCTTCTGCCAAACGAGGTTGATAGATGGTCCGACCAATTTGTTACTTATCTCCACTGCGGAGCCTAGCTCTCGCTGCGTTTTAGCTAGGCTCCGCACAGTGGAACCTTCGGTGAGTTGCTCGCAGTCATTACCGGGTTATTCGGAAGCGTTCGCGACACGACGTCGGAAACGCTAGAGTGGGGAAGGCGCTTGGTCGGGTAGGTACAACATTAACAGCTTCGAGCCCCATTTTCAGGCTTCTGAAGAAAGACCAGAAGGTCGAAACGTTAGGCCTATAAAAGAAAGGTTCCGTCTATCAACCTCGTTTGGCAGAAGCAACTAAACATTCGACGTCACGCCGAGGGTTACAACAAGGGACAACATGGAGATCGTCTGGGATGTTGTTTCGTTTGATGGGATGGTTTAACTTTCTGAAAAAGTTACGGCAAGAGAGACGCAGCATTGGGAATGAGGTCGTAACCCAAAAGGAGATAGTTCTACAGGGGGTTGGGACCGAATTTTGGGAAAGTTGACGTGATGATGGCCCCGACGGGAAGTACGGTTGCTGTCGAGGGACCAGAAGGGTGGGCACACGTAGCAGGTGTCAAGCAACTTTGCAGCAACAGCTTCCTCAGGCGATGCACCTTGGGCGCGTCCAGATTTTCTTTGTAAACAGTGAGCGTAAAGCAATCTGTGGCCTTTTTAGGCAATCCCTGAGATTTGATTTGTCAGACAAAATCAAACAAATGGTTTAACCTCATCACACAAACTCATGAGCTGTTCATATAGCTGGAACTCTAGTTCTCCAAATAACCTCGTGGAATTCCAGGAGAAAGGCAGCATACTGACTGGAATTCGGTGTTGATGGCCGGCTTCGTCACGTTCTTGTCAGCAGTTGAGAACACCGTGGTCGGAATGTCTGAATGGCCATACATGCATACGGTAAGTAATATCTTATTAGGTAACACCCGAGAGATTATGTCGAGGTACTGTGCTCCCAGTAATTGCGGATAATCTCAAACAACCGCTATAAAATAGTTGCACAAATAAGGCACAAAACAGATTAGGGGGAAGTGGCACGGCATAGAGAGGATAAATTACGGCGTATTGCAATAAATTACACTAATTTATTAATCTTGTTGACTACCTGACCGTGGATCGTTGTGTGTGGTGGGCAGCTCAGGAAATGTGGAGGAATTGCATTCCCAATGATTTACTCTGTTGTCGGGGGAAGAAGAAACGAAGGATAAGCAAAAGTAAAGCGACAAAGAGACACTCGTGGCGATAGATTCCTAAGCGCGTCTTATTAGGGACAAAGCGAGAAGTTTCTAAAGCAATCCCTTCTTGGGATGCGGGACGCACTCTTCTTCCAATCACAATCGAAGTAGTTCATCGAGCGCGAAATATCCTGTACAATGACTTGCGGGAGTCAGACGATGTGTAGGTCAGTGTTCTTCTTCTTCTGTTCCTCCCAGACGGAACAGGTTCCAATCCACAGTCCGCGGAGGGTAGAAGGCTTGGTTGGCCAGGGCGGAAGCCAGTTCGTGGTTTCATCCCCAGAACGCGTTCGTGGTAGAGCGTGCCACTTGTCACTACACCACTAGCACCTCAAGGTTACGCTTTATACCTCACAAAATAGGGAGAAAGTGCATGGTAATGAAGTCGGAGGCGTGCAGTAGCTTGGTGTTCCTTATGCTGTCTCGTCCAGCATTCTGTACTCGATGCGTACGCTGTTCATGCGGCCAACCACGCCCAACTGGTCACAGACAAGTAGCACAAGTGACTATAGTTAGGCGTTTAGCTGGCAGTGTCGCGTGTGGCTTGACTGTGACGTACGTGTCGTTTAACAAATGCTGGCAAAGAGATGAGCACTATCGAGCTATCAGAAGCCTGTAGCATCATTCCTGCGCATTCTGGCAATCGTGCTAGATTTCTGCTGCTGTGGGCTTGTGCACCTCCTATGAGAAAATAGGACACCTCTCATTGACCATGCAGAGATTCTTCAGACGTTCAGAGTTCTTTCACTACTGTAGTAGAAATACCTGCTCAGGTTCGATTTCAAAATAGTTTTATTCAGATAGATCCCGACGCTACGTCACAATTCTTCGGACTAGTCTCTTCAGTGTCCAAGCTAGGTCATGCTGCTTTCGCGATCTTGTTCGCCTTCTGGGCCTACAAAACACATAGTATAAAGTAAGTTACCAGTTTTGTTACTCGCTCAGAATCGCTATACTTATCTGTCAGCATGAGTATAGAAAGAATCCATGCTGGAATACATACAATAAATAATAATCCATTTCTACGTATTTTGGCTGAATTGTCGTTGTCAAGACGATAGTAGTGCATGTAAGCCGCGCATTTGCTTGATATTCAGCCTCAGAGGAAAGTCGTAACGCTCAACTCCGGGGATACTGTTCTTAACCAGTAAAATAGGTTGGCAGCTGTGAAAGCAGACCTTTTGTCCTCAACAGTGTGCGGAAATGAG